AGATACGTATTAATTTTCCTTCAATTTAAACAAGAAATGGCTTAGATAAGAGGCATTAAAGTTGAGGAGTGGGAGCTCGCTACGTCACAGTTTTGTAGAAAATGTACAAAAGCGTGATGTCATGCGACATTTCAACTCGATGTATCGGCGTAATTTATTACTTACGCAAAAAATTCAAAATATGAATTTAATATTCTTTATTCCAATGCGAAAGTAACCCTTTCACAGTCACGGCTATAAAATGGGGCCTTTTGATATTAGTACAGTCAACGTCAGGTTAAATAATGCTGTCTTACACTTCAACAATTTAAATTTTGAAACGAAATTCAAAACAATTTGAGGATTTTTTTGCATTTTTTAAATACTAATGCAATCTTAATGAATCAGTGGCGTTAGATACACCATTAAGTAAAAATATGCAATATCGAGATTTTGTTTAACATTTCAAATATTACACAAAATGTTCAGTATAAATAATGTGAATCCATCAAAAATATAATTAAAGAAAATAAATGTAAACGTATCTAAAGACACAAAAAAGTTAATAACATTTAAAAGTAAAAGTTACGACTGGCGTGATTATTTTGGCATGCGTTGATGTCTTTTGAATTACTTGTCGTTTATAAAAACAAAGTGAAATATAAGTAGAATATAACGTTTTATTTTAATGAAGATTAAGTTTGTAGCACATCAAAATATAATAATAGTAACAAAAATTCACAAGATATTACAGTATTTAGTGTATACACTTCTTTATTGACAAAGTTTTAATAAAACCTAGATTCGTTGATGTCTTTCGTGCGAGATTTTACATGGAATGTTTTAATTTTGTTTTCTAATTTTGTATTATTTTAAAATCTGTAGAATAATAACACAGATATATATAGATGCATGGTATGATGTATGAAAAAAGGTACTTAATGTATAAAACATTTTTAATGTTAACTTTTGCAGTAGTGATTCTTACAAAGTTGCCTAATATAAAGCGACCAAAGTCCCAAGTCTTTGACTTCACTTGCTTGATTGTTGAGTACGGCGAAACTCAAATGAACTTAGTTAACATTTTACTGAACATTTTCCGTACCGATACGACCTTCAAACTTTCAAGCGTAGAGCTTATTCGTCCCTCAAAGGCCGGCAGCGCGCTTGTAGCCCCTCTGGTGTTGCAGGTGTCCATGGGCGACGGTAATAACTTACCATAAGGTGATCTGTCTGCTCGTCTGCCCCCTATCCATAAAAAAAAAGTTAAAGCGTTAGAAGGGGAGTGGTGTACATTCAAACCCCCAAATAGGTGGATTATCGAAGAATATCAAATACGTATTTTTATATTTTTGTGCGTAATTAATTATTTACAGCGATACATTGAGTTGAAATGTCGCTTGACGTCATGCTTTTGTACATTTTATACAAAACTGATGTAGCGAGCGTCATCCTTTTTTTAATTCTATTTTTTTAATGAATTTGATAACTTATTTACAAGTTTCATTTAATCATCAGTCTAAAGCTCGTGTAACTTTACAAGTTGGACTCTGAACTGTTGTTATTACAATTGCCGTAGATGTAAGGCTCGTACTACAAGTTAAAAGCTTCATATGCTCTCGATTTGAGCTAAAATTCACACTAAGCTCATTCTCCATAATTTGTTCCACCTAGACCATCGGCAGGCGACGCCCCTTTTTATATAATACTCACTTTCCGCCAATGGTTCCGCCCGCGTGGTTCTTAGGGAACCAACAGTAAAATAATACGCGTTCAGAATTTCGAATATTATTTTAGAAAACAAAACAAAAGATACCACTATTTACCAGCAATCGGCACTGCGCCAATTTTAAACGGATTTATATATTAGGATCATGTTCTCCTACCTGATCAAGTTGTCCCTATACCCTTCAAAACCCGTTCACTGGTTTTGCGTGACAAACACATATTCATCCTCACAAACTTTCGCATTTATAATATTAGCATCATTACACTAGCTTTTGCCTGTGACTTTGTTCCTGTGGTTGCTTTGAACAACGAATTTTGTTAAAACAATTTCATTCAACCCCTTCAACAAACACTGTACTACGCGGAAAATATACAGAGGTAGGTATAAGTGTAGCAATACATATAACTTCATTCGGTACTCACGTAATTCGCGATTGAATTTTTTTTTAGAACAATATTTTATAATTGTTATAGACTTGAATTATAATATTTATTAGTTATAATATTGTTGAAAAACACATCAATCACACCTATCTTTAGTCAAGTCAAATCTCATATTTTTTATATCAAACAAATTTGACAGGTATAAATTAAAAATTTAATAACATGTATATTTGGTAAAACGAGATGTTTCGTGGAGAAACCTTGAACTGAGAACTTAGTAAAAAACACACGTTTTTGGTATGAGAAGGAACTCTAGACGTCACATTGAATAATGACTGTAAAGTGCACAGAACACGGAAAAGAGGTAAAGTGTATGAATTCATCTGCCAATCCTGCCATAATTATAATATTTATTTAAGCAATAGGCGCTTATCTAGGAAGCTAATTATAGGTATTACAAAGATTCCACCACTTTATGTTTTCAGATTTAATTGAATAGACTCCGAAATTATCCAGCGATTTTACGGAAAACTTTATCACATAGGCTAACTATATAATATACTCGGGCAAAGTCGCGGGAGAACATTTAGTTATAATACAATGAAATAAAATCATAATTGTCTTTTGAAGTACATTTTGTTCGATCGATCCTTTGTGCCTTGACAGCTTTGTGCTCCACCTCGAGTTCGACGTTGATTTTTTTCAATAGGACTGCTTTTATTATTGTAACAATGTAATCAAATAACTTTTTATGGCTGGTATAGATGGATTAAGTTGATAAATAGTAAACTAAATTGTTAACTTAATTTTAACTATTAATGTGTGTTTACAAGAACTTAATCACGTAAAATGTTGTTAATTACTTATCAACTTAATACTTGTAAAACAACCATTATAAAATGAAGTCACTTAAAATTTAGATAATAACTTAACAACTTGGCTCCCAATATATTCAATTTGAGTTCGATTGTTTGTTAGGTATAACTCGTCGACAATATAAATTTTGCGTGTGTGGAGTGATAATGTCTCACCCACGTTTGTTTGCGTTTACATAACGCTTCTTAGCGATCTTATGGCCACTTAAATAGACCTTGGAAATGGCTGTTGTTAAAATATCCACGTATTCTGGCAATTATCAAAACATTTGCTATGAATCTTGTATTTAGGCTAAAAGAAATCTTGTGTCTTTCGTGTTCTACGGCTACTTTATCGGGCTAGCAGCATAAAGGTACAAAATACCAATTCATTAGTTGCACTACTAATTAAGGCATTATGTCACACTAATAAATGTATTATAATAATTCTAATAAATCATTTTTTTACATCTGGTTGTATGTCTCGTATTATTATTTGAAAAATATTATGTTATTGTAGTTATTATTAATTTAATATTTGAAGTAAATATTCCAATAAAAAATCTCAACTGATATTGAGATGAGATGAACTTTCTGTAACCGAAAAATCCCCGAACCGACCGAGACCGACTCGCAAAAATTAATGTTTGTTGTATGGAGGACTGTTTTAGTGTTTGTTGTTATAACGGCAATAGGAATACATCATCTGTGACAATTTTAGCTGTCTTGCTACCACGGTTCGTGATATACAGTCTGGTGACTGACGAACGAACGTATTTGGGTATGGAACCCTTAAATTGAAATCTATGAAAGTCACATTGATTTCTCATGAATGTCTGTGATGAAAATCAATTGTCTTCATTAGCTCCACAGTTCACAAGCATAATCATAAATCAGAGTGATAATTGATGACATTTTGACACGATATTCTACCGTATTGTGTTGATAGTAAGAGTTACTACTGTAAGATTTGATGTGTTATATATAACCGGTGCGACAAACGAAAAGAACTCATTGTTACAGTGAAAGCAGGAAATAGTTATGTAAGCGAGTACTACAAATTGCGTGTCTGACTGAGTTCAAACAAATATTAACTTGACGTTACTTAGGTAACTAAGATTAGGATAATAGGTATCAAAGAATTAAACACTCAAAGAATAGTTTATGTAGGTAATTTGTTTTTAATTTCACTTGGTTGACTTGCTCGCCGTTTTCAATGACAGTCATTTTACCTTTTTTCTTCTTTAGTTATTTATAAAGGTTTAGAACCTTTATAAAGTTTTTTAAATAAAATTACAATGTATTAATTATTCCTAAATCCAGACCCTTTTTAATCAAGACACGGGTTTTGGGGATTTAAGAAAACACGACTATATACTGCCAGCAATGAAAATGTATACGAACGATTTAGAAAAACTAGGTATAGGCATTAACTTTTTATCATAAAAAACCGTGTAATGCGGCCTAAAACAGTGTTCACCCGTATAAGTCGGCTACAGAGAGTAGGTCGTCCGAATTAATGTATCGTCACAGTGAGCGTTACGGTTGTGTTGGTTATAAATAGTGGGAAATAATCTCTTTTATAAAATTTTTGTCACTGTAAACATATTGAATATTTACACCTACAAGAGACTTCTACAAATATTAGTTATATAATATATTGCTTTACAATTTTTTTACATTTTGCACTATTAGCATGAATCGGAACGTATTTTAACATGGCATTACGTCAGGGCCGTTAGCCCACAGCTGTTTGATAAACGTCAAATATTCGCGAGTGAGAAGAAAACACGTCAGAAATAACTTAGCGAACACATGATTTATTATATTTCTCATAAAGAACCCATCTACTAAAGTGTGTTAAAGCCAAAGTGTAGTGACTTGTATAGCGTGGGCACATTCATTTGTTGAAAAATCAATAAAGGTAATCCAAACGCAATTACAATTTAACACACTTTTAAATCAAAAGATAGCTCTTAAACAAGTATTCCCTATTAGGTAATGAATTAAAATTGGTTTCTTGTATAACTATGATCATTTCAGATTTGTAACACCATGATGAGCAGCAGTAAATGTTTATTTAAAATCATAATTTGTCTGTTTGGACTGCCCGCCGGCTTTTGTAACGTTCAACCTACTATTATGAATCCAAGCATATTGTCTCCTACTAAAACCCTTGGCGAGTGTCAAGCGTGCAAGCTATTTGTGGAATCGTTCAAGAAAGGTCTAGAAAGAACAGCTCGTGGAAAATATGAAGGTGGTGATGCAGCCTGGGAGGAAGAGAAACTTAAGACCACTTATAAAAGAAGTGAAATGCGTTTAGTTGATATACAAGAAGGCATATGTAAAGATGAAAAAGATCACTCAATACAATGCCATAATATGGCAGAAAAAGCTGAAGAATACATTGAGGCATGGTGGGCTCAGAATCCAGATGAGTCTTCAGATCTTTTGACATATATTTGCATAGATAGTTTAAAGACTTGTTGCCCTAAACACCATTTCGGTAAAGATTGTATACCTTGCATTGGCGACCATTCTAATTTATGTAATGGTAATGGAAAATGCAGGGGTGATGGTACAAGAAAGGGTAATGGCACTTGTTTATGTGATCCTGGTTACATAGGGGATAACTGTGATCAATGCTCCACTGGTTACTATTTATCTTATAAAGATGATAATAAAATTACTTGCTCTCCATGTCACAGAGCATGTATGGGAGGTTGCCGTCATGGCACACCAAAAGATTGCTTTGCTTGTAAGCCAGGTTTCCTGTTCGATTCTGAGGAAGGATGTCTAGATATCAATGAGTGTGATGATGTGAACAGATGTACTAAAGATGAGTTCTGCATGAACTCTATTGGATCTTTTAAATGTGTGTCATGTGATAAGTCTTGTTCGGGGTGCCATGGTGATGGACCAGATATGTGTCGTAAATGTGCCAATGGTTATTCTAAAAAAGGGGAATTCTGTATAGCCGATAGAGAGGATGAAGACTCATCTGATAAATTGACAATGACAAGGTAATTTAAATTTAGCCGTTGATCAATCATATAGTCTAAATAACAATATTCTTAATGTAAAATGCTTTAAAAAATCCACTTAGTCCCCAGTACTCTGAGATGGGATTTGAACGCACGATCTTCCGCAATCTGGTTAACGACTCTAACCACTGAGCTATCCAGGTCTAACAGGACTGATTAATTTTTCAAACACTTGTTACTTTAATGCTACTACAGAGTTTATTTCCATCAATGTGCAGGTAGTCCACCCAAACAGCTGAAAGAAATATTTCATCAACAAATATTTTTAAAAGATCCATCTTTTAAGCATTTTTCAATAAGATTATATTCCAGTATAGCGTTGTGATTGCAAAATTGATCAAACATTATAAAAAAATAATACAATGTGCGTTTAAAATTATATCTTTGATTTTTTACAGAAACACTGAGCTGTAATGTCTTTAGAGAAAGTTTTGAGATTGTAATAGGTAAAATTAAAATTTGTTTATGGTGATGGGCAACTAGCTTATATGGGGATAAAAATGCTATAATATTAATACCCTTAACAATATCACTTGTAGTCTTAAATAATATATCACATACATATTAAACTTATTTTGGGAACAATGGCTACTATTTTTATTTTTATGGGTATAATTAATTTAAGGCAATAAAATTTATATTAAATTTGTTTATATATGTATATTTTTCCTTGTTTACATTTTAAAGTTATAACTGTGACTAACCGGACCATTTGGTTACTATGATACAGTTCAATATATTAATGACTTACTTTTTAGGTACATGACCTACATCGGATTGCTTATTGCAACGGGGATTCTTTTGCCAAAGTCAACATCTCTCGGAAGTTTTGTCGGTGCAATGGTGTTGTCATACATTGTCGGAGCAGAGTATTATTGCATGATAAATGGACATGAAGGTCTAGTTAACTTGAAAGATTTTGATTTAATGCAACTATTTCATACTTGAAGTATTTTATATAGGTTTTTAAGCATTTGTATTAGTTGTGATGTATAATTTTAAGTGAAAATTTCTCAGATACAAGCTAAGTGATATTTTTAAAAATTAATATAGTGGCAAACAAGTAGAAATTAAGGAAATGTAGTCTATGTAGTCCATAATCTTGGTGAGATTTATATTGACAAAAAATCTTTTTTATACTTTACTGTATTTTTTAAACAATATAGTACACAATATATTAGTCCTACCAAGTTCTCATTGGTAAATAGTATTTGTTTTAATTAAACATGAATAAATAACTCAATGATGCATAACAGAGAATGAATTTATTAACATAGCATTTATTATAAGTAAAATAATTGATTTTGTATATGAGTCAAGGCTTTTATTTACTATTATTTATATTTTATATGAGGCATATTTTTGGATGTATGTTAGATCAGGTTAAGTAATCTACAATACCATTAAACACCACAAAAATGTATATTTTGTTTATTGAAAATGATTCTTAATTTGTATCGCATTAAAGTTTAAAATAAAGACGGCAGATGTGATCGTGCAAGCGATCGTTAAATATCATAGGGATATATTTTCGCGTCATTTTGTAACATTCGAATGAAGTCACGCCTGTCAATATTCGATTATGGAGCGACCGTGACACCGTTTATGCCTGTAGTGAAGTGTACTAAACATGATAGTCTGGTGCAAGTGACGAGATATAGTGATTATTTAATTTCAAATTTCAACTGCCATATTTCAGTAAAAATTAAAAATTTGTCCAAATTATAATATGATGTAAGCAAGATTGCATACTCATTTTACATCCTTAATTGTAAAAATAAAATAAACTTATTCATAAATGCATTGAAGACTAATTTTAGTTCAAATGTCGTTATAGTATGTTTTTCTTTTTAATTTGATAAACAAGTGAAAAAAACGAAACAATAACGAGAATTCAATAAATCACCAGAAAGTTATAGATAATTTATACAGCTTACATTACACAAAGATATTTATGGGGACACCCGCAATGGTGCGTAGCCGGGATTAAGATGTGAATTAATTATTTATCGAAAACTGTATTACAAATGTAGGCAGCAAATATTTACTCAATATGTTTAGGAAGAAAAAAAAAATATTTGAGATCGGTTACTGTGTGCAATGGCATGCAAGGGTAAAAACATTTATTTCAGATTATTAGTTATTAACATATTTATTTACTTACATATTCTGTAAGATCTATTAAACCTACCTATTAAATTATAGATAGCTAATAAAAAGTTTCTACGATTAGCATATCTATAATATGTAACAACATGTTCAAGATTAACTTCTGGCTTAGTTGTAGACAGGAGATTTGGCAGTTAGTTTAGTTTTTTTAAAGTTAGTTATAAAAGCATTTTATGTTTTAATCACATTTGATTTTCGTGTGTATTAACTTGAATTTATATCATTCAATAATTATATTTTAAATTGTATTACAGATTTATAGTTTCCGCTTTCGCTTATGAATTATACTTGGTGATGTTCATGTTAAAACGCTCATATTATGTAATTTATGCATAATACGTGTGTATTCATGTTTGGATGTTATGTATTACGTGTGTGTTTAGTCCAAGAAGTTTGGTAATTATTGCAACTGTTTCTAAAGTAACGACTTTAAAGCGTTCACAAATGCTTAATAAAGACTAACTTTCCGTCGAAGCTTCACCCGCGTGGATTTTGGTTATTACCACCCTTGTTGTGACAAAGTTATTTCGATGGTTTAATTTTACTAATTATGGTACTGAGTAGCCGAGTTCATCGTATCCCAACCAGCCCGGAATCTACGATTTTTTCCAGCCGGAAAACTTAATTGTGATTTTTGTATGCGTAATTTATTCGAGTTTTGGGTTTCTTTTAAGTCTGTGAATAGATTATTTTCATTCATAAAGTAATATTTTACATGAAAACTATCTAAATAAGACAATTTATTGGCATTTTATTAAATGTGTTTTTTCAATAAAAAAGTATTTTTTATTACTAAACCTTTTTTGTTGTTGTGTTTATCAATTAAATTCTCTTTAGTAGAAGTCTCTAGACTGGTGCTGATTATATTAAATGCTTGGCAATACACATCTAATCTTAGACGCAGCCTGGAACGAGTACTAAGTAGTTGAGCGGGTTTCGCTTCCGTGTTTAAGAAAGCAGATTGCGAACGGGCCTTTTCAATCACGCATTTTTATTGAAGTATGTAACTTAGTTCTTAGTTAGTTAAGGAGAACGATGGAGCAGTGGTTAGCACGCTCGATCTACGATACGGTTGTTAAGCAACATTCGCGATGGTCGGTTATAGGATGGATGACCAAAAATTTAATTGCCTCGAGCTCCTCCGTGCGGAGGGTACGCTATGCCGTTGGTCCGGGTTGCAACTGCAGTCGTTAATACCCACCAATCCGCTCTGGGCCCGCGTGTTAGGTTATGGCGCATTCTCCTTATTCGATTTGATTTGATCCATAGGGAAGGCCTGAGCCATTAATAGGCTGGTGATTCTGACGATGTTATTAGCCATATCCGACAATCGTTGTTGCTAAGCAACTTTCGCATGGGTTGGTTGCGGGATGGATGACCACATAATTATTGTCTCGAGTTACTCCGTGCTGCGGAAGCCAGAGATCTGTCTAATTTTATAGAGGAAATATATCATACGCGAACATAGACATAGCTTACGCGTACGAAATCACGATAAAGTGTCCTTCCTACCAGCTATTTTCCGCGACATCGCAATTAACGAGATTAATATTTCTTATTTATTTATTCTTTATTGCAACATAAAAAATCAAATCACAAATGATTTGATTACAAAAGAACGTTAAAACAAACCTCAAGTTAAAATTATATATTTTTATTTTATTGGTGTAACAGAATCGGCTCCAAAGTGGTCCTACCTACATGGTTTAAATTTTTCCTTTTAAGGTACTGAACTATAACGAGTAATTATTTTGAGTAAGTATACCTACGGCATAGTTAATGATTCATTATAGAAGAAGTTGCATGCATACTCGTTGTAATATTACAATCAGTTATGACTTTATTACAGGTTTTCATAAATATTACTTGGTAACCAAAGTTTACGATATGGAGGAAACTACTTTGGTACTTGCCTATTAGTGGATAAACAGGTTCCCTTAGATATTGAAGCTTAAGTTATTGTTATTACTATATCCTTTTCTTAAATGAGGATATTTTCATCTAAGTACATATCTATTAGATCTACAAGATGAAAATAAAGGAGATAAGTGGCCATTTAAAATTAGTATGCACTTATTTATCTGTGGCTCCGAAGATTAGATGCTTTTGCTAATTTTGATCTAGTAAAAAAAAATATGAAATTTTTTGCAACTTATTGTTTTTTTCAAAAGTTATACTTAATTTATTTAAATTAATTTTGTACCATTATTCAAGTACATAAACGATATGTACCATTAATATAATTATTATTTATAAAAGAAGCGACAATTAATTTTGCTGTTTTCTTCAAACCTTTTTAGAATTTCTTAGGTACTACAGTTGTCTTAATATTTATTTTGTTAAGTTGAAAAGATTAGTTAAGCGCAATGATGAATAGAAGTGTAGACAATTTTTTAAATCTTTTTATTTCATAGATATACATGAAATATATCTAAAGAAGTATCATTCATATAATAAGTCAAAATCTAAAAATAAACTTAATTTTCGAAATTTCCCGAGAAAACGCTACTTCTGTCATGAAAATTATTTGTTAGCTGACCAATATATTTTACGTCTTAATAGAACTTTATGACTAGATTAAAATAATAAAAGCTACATGTAAATCACCTCGTACAGGTAGTCTAACTCAATAGAAAACTGAGAAAGTTTGAGAAACCTCTTTCCACGTCAAAGTTTACAGTGCTTACAAAAAATTACTTCAATAACAATACAACAGTATTGTTTCAGGGGCATTTAATAAATGAAAGTAACACGAGTATCGCACGACATAACCGCTATTGTGTAGCGTTGCATGGGAAACTGTTGTTGTTTATTATAACATGCTTCTGTGAATTTTATTGTTGCATTTTAATGAGTGAGCGTGTAAGAGCTACCGTATTACTGAGACGAATTTCTTAAAAAGTTTAATTCATTTCGTTTCAGTTGTTTGATCGAGCATTGTAAATATTTTCAAATACCATGTTAATTTTTTGTCAGAAAAATTTTAGTATCCTTTATGGAAGTAGGTGGTGGTGCAAATAAAATTATTTGCATCGATTATGAATCGAATTTATACATTATAGTTTTCAAGGTGGTTTCTACATTAAGAGCACAAGTCAAAACTTTGCATTATTGTATATCTTTTTTCAAAGGTTGTGAATGAGTTTCACTTCTTATTACATATGAATATTTCAAATATATGCCTAGTTATTATTTACTAACTGATTATAATTACAGTTTGCACAGTAAAATACTCAAAACGCAGAAGTTTTGTGATTGATAGAAGTATTAACCGCTTTCAGATAACTACAAAATTTTATCCTGTTTAAGCATTTTTGAAGTCTGTTTTGTTTTTTTTTTATTTAATTCAGCGCAAGGGACATACTTGTTATATGGCTTTCTAGTATTTTATAAAAGATAAATTAGGCATGATTTACCTCAATATTCGACACAATAGTCAACCAAAGCACGCTCACATAATTACGGGACGGGACGTCTTATTTATTGTGATAGGGCGACGAAGTACCGTTGTCGACATGCTCCGTACTGTTAGCCACAGTTCACGTTTGTCCGGTTATAGCGATTCTAAACTCCAATTAGGGTGCTTAAGGCATGGACTCGTTTGATTGCACTGGTAGAGTTCAATAATGGCGCAGTTCAAGCCCTAATGAAAATAATATAGTTGTACTGACATTTGATGACGTCGTAAGATCGTGATTGGAAGAAACGTTTCATAAGCTCCGAGGTTAATTTTTCTACTAGTTTAAGAAGTTTACTGGGTACTGTGGGAATAGAGTTAAAGGTATGTAACTTTGAATGGCAAAGGTAACAGCAAACATACAGCTTTGTTTTCACGTTTTTGTTTTGTTTGTTTTTCTTTTTAAACATTGAGATGGATGTATCCGGGCGAGCTATTAAATATCGATGAATAAAAACGAATCGCCGAAACTAATGTACGCGCATAACTTCCGGATTCCAGTTCTGCATCAAATTGGATAATCCTATTTTTTATATGTTCAACGATTCATGACACGGTTTGTGTATAAGATTTTTTTTAAAACGGTTATAAGGCGGTATGAAGTTCGCCGGGTCAGCTAGTATACATATAAATCTAGCTCTTGAATAAAATCGCATTAAATTCCGTTGTGCATTTTAAAATATTACAGCGTAAGTACAAACAGCGGCAAGTAACTTTATTTTATAGGGCAGAAGACCCGGTTGTGGCCACTGCCCTCTTTTTGGCCATTTTGAACTTCGTCAGCCTGCCAGCCTGCCGCCTAAATGAAAGTAAAGTATTCTTTGCTAGCTTTCGCCAGCGGCTTCGTCCGCGTGGTCCCTAGGGAAATATTTAGTGGGATCCTATTATCTAAGTCAGTTAATACCCTATATGTATACCTAATTTCATCAAAATCCGTTCAGTAGTTTCGGCATGATTGACGGACAAAGATCAAAACAAAGAAACTTTCACATTTATAATATTAATAGTATTGTAGAAATGTCATACATAATGTAGGCTGTGTTATATACTCGTATTACACAAATTCGCATGAATGGGCCGGCTCGACCAGAGTGATACCACGGCCTCACAGAAAACCGACGTGAAGCAACGCTTGCGTTGTGTTTCGTCGTGTGAGTGAGGGTACCGGAGGCCCAACCCCTCCCTATTCCTTTCCCTCTACCCCTCAACCCTTCCCTCTAAGGCCGGCAGCGCGCTTGTAGCTCCTCCGGTGTTGCAGGTGTCCATGGGCGACGGTAATCACTTACCATCAGGTGATCCGTCTGCTCGTCTGCCCCCTATCCCATAAAAAAAAGGTGTTTATTGGTTAAAAATTTAAGATATCAACTTATAATAATGTGGTATGTAAAAAGGTAGAAGTTATATTTACACTTTAAGGTGGTAATTTTTTTACAAAGCTAGTTTTAAAAAAGAACGGCTTTCCCTTTAATCGAGATAATGTAGGTAGATATGATTATAATTTAATTTCGCTTATATTTATGTATAAAGTTAAAACTTTGAAGAAAATTAACAGGTTATTTATTCATTTATAATATTAATTAGTTTAAGACCGAATTCTGTTTGAGAAAAAACAGCCAATGGCTTTGCGTGGGTATACCTTTATGTTAACTTTAAAGTATATGCTCAGTTAAGGAAGTATCTCACCATATTAGTGATATTTAGTTGTTTTGTTTGTGATCAATTATGAAAACTTACCAAATGTGGCAGTTTGCGGTGGTTGACCAGAGGCGTAGGAGTTAAAATATAGATGTACTAATGTAGCTATTGAGTGATTTTTGTAGAAAAACCGTTTGGACCTTCTTGCTTATGACATTTACATTCAAATGTTTGCTTACAACTAATATCAGTGCAATTTTCATATTCACATTATAAAGTTATAACAGTTTTTCTAAAATAAATTGCGTTTTTTCCTGAAAATTATCAAATATTCGTTATTTTATTTTTCTTTTATGGAGTAAAATACTGTTTATATCTTTTTTTATAAGACACTATAAAGACAAAACTACGATCTATAAGATAATATTTCTTTTATTCGAAAGTATTTTTGAATACAGACATAAATAAAATAAGCTTGAATATTGATAAACACATCGGTATGCAACTCACGTAACAAGACACAATATGAATGACTTGTATGAATATTCATACATCTACTCGTTTTACGGGCAGGCCCCAGGACAAAGGCTCTCACCCAAGGTCATGCGATCACTTTCCATTTCAAATAATACGTGAATAAGCCTCCGAATTTTTGAGTGTATTGGAATACCGTAAAGTCTAGCTGATAAGGTTGGTTATGTAGACTATTGTTGTATGAGAACCGGCCTGTGAATGTCATGAGAGTCACTTTGATAGGACCTTCAGTAACCCTTGGAACGAGAAAATAAACGTAAAATTCTCGATTTCTTTGCTTATTATAAATTTGGCAGACGTGTCCGAACTTCAACATTCGGGTTTTATATGTCGTTTTTTTTATTGTTTCATAATATGTAGTATTATTGTCGAGATTTTCATTATTTATCTTAATCTAAAAACAAGATTACTCAAAAATTAAATTGTGGTTCTTTATTAGATCAATGTCGTAGCATTAGTTAAAAAAAAATACTCCGAGGAATAATAAGATTTCTTAATAGGAAAACGCTCCCTACAAATTCAATGCACTAAGTGATGTCACACGGTGCTAAGGTAGCGAAAAACATATCGGCAATCTTTGTTATTTGTGTGTTGGATTTAGCTGTTATAATAAAAGTTGTAACGTTTTATGTAACTAATTTAAAGCCATATGTATTTACATAAGTAAAATTTTGTAGTATATTGTAGTATACTCTTTCTATGTTTTCGAAGCGTAATATTTTGCAAATTAGTATCATAATTTTTTTTAAAATATTTATAAGTTAAAATGGTTCATAAATGCCGAACATATAACAGAAATCTGCATTTTTGCTTGTAGGACACAAGCCTAACGAGAAGATCCTCCTTTTTTGAAGTCTGTTGAAACAGTGTCTCATGTCATATTTTATAGATGTATTTGTAAAATATTCTAATTTATTTTGAGACAGCAAATTAAAGAAAGTGTTTTCCAGCCCTTGAATTTTAAAAATTAATTTTTTAGTGTATACGATAAGATTATGTTATGTATTTTTTGTTTACAGATTACGATCTTGTCTGCAATGTTGCTCTGAAATCTAGAGTACACGAGACAACTTATATACGAGGTAACTAAATATTTGCATCATAACATAATAATTGCATAAATATATTTATGTCCGTAATAAATAGCTCACCCAGGGAAGTTCGTATCGAGTGCTAGGCTGCGGCGCCCGGGTTGTAATTATAAAACTGTCTTCTTCTACTTCTCTAGAAGACTATTTAGCAAACAGCCAATTTCGCATTTAGCCTACTCTCAAAGTGCAAACTAATTATCTACTAGTCAAAGAACAATCTAAGTATAGACAAGTAGACCAAGCTATTCGATACATGTTGGTAAGTAGATGGATTGCGAAATATGGATATCATTTAATCTAAATACTAAATGTGGATTGCTAGGTTGGCTAGTAGCAAATCAGTTGCCACGAAAAGAAGACTATCGGAGTGGAATAAACAAATTGATTCTTATTTGTTTGATTTTCATTCTAATCCTATTAATATTATAAAGGCGAAAGTTTGTAAGTATGGATGTATGGATGTTTGTTACTCTTTCACGAAAAAACTACTGGACGGATTTGGATAAAACTTTACAGCAATATAGGTTATACATCAGAATAACACATAGGGTACTTTTTACTGGGAAAACTTCTCACTCCCACGGGATACCGACTTCCACGCGGACGAAGTCGCGGGCGTCCACTAGTATGACATATTTCAACATCACGACTATAATAATATGTCTGTTTTATACTTTTCAAATATTTTATCGTTATTCATCTGGTTTATTCAGCTAGATGAAAGCAATAAATAACGATGATCTGTCTAGTCGTTAGTTTGTTTAAACGGTGTAATTACCGCGATTTTCTTTCGTATATGAACTTAATTTAGATATCAAAAATAAGTTTTTAATCTACAGGAACAAGTCTGTTAATTTCTGTTTTAAGTTCCCACGGTAACTTAGTTAATATCATACCCAGCAGCATATAAGCTTGGTAAGTGTTACATATTCATTAAGAAAGTGAAGTTTTATTATAAAGTTTTATATGTGCTATAAATACGCGATGATTTATGCTGTCTATAGCAAAATGTAAGGACGGCCCACATAGCCAATTAAAAATATATGTAACATTATCTAGAGATACAAATAATGTCGAGCCATATCGTTATGTATAAATTTATCCAATAAAACAGCAGGGTAGCAACTTGTTGATTGTCGTTGCAATGCACAAGAAAAACAAATTTCATATTTGTTAAGTGAACACAAAAATAATCTCTATAATGTTGTAAGTAAAGTTTAAAGTGGCATCGAGCATAGTTTTGTTAATAACTGGATACAAAACGTACACGAATACGAACCAAAGACAATATAGTAAGGAGACGGCCATGTTGCTTGTCTATGCTAAACGATTTATAGCTCGGCAGTTTTGTAGCAATAATGCGTTATTCGGTGTACTTTTTTTGGTTGGGTAGTTTGGTTTTTCCCTATTTAAACATTATATTTTTCCTAGGCGAAGTATGAAGAAAACGTAAGATGTTATTATTGCGTTAGGGAGCAGGTTTATTGTTTAGAATGTCCTCTTGTTCCACTGTATATCCATATATATTTATGTTAATTTCACGTTCAGGTCAATACCACTCGGTCCCAATTTTACTGGGATTCTTTGCTCGTTACCGGGGCCCGAACCACATGAGAGTGTGCAACGGACGGTTTTGATGGGTACCATTGGACCGATGTCTCTTGCAGTTGGAGAACCCCGGACAATCGGTATTTCATCCAGGGAGATGAAGTGTTAAAGTCAGGTCCTTTAACTTAAAACAAAGGTCAATACCTGACCTAGATGCACGTAATTTGATTTATAGGCTTAATACGCCTATAATTAAAAATGCACTATAATGGTAGCTGTAGTGGCAGTTTCAACTCTCATTGGTCTTAACAATATGGTTAAAAAAAGAAAATTAATCAATGCATAGGTATTTATTTAATATGTTTTAAATACAATTTTGTTCTTTAAGGTTATGAGTGACACAAAAAAGTAAAGGCCGAAAGGACGTATCCCTTTGATTGAGAAAAAATAAAACTTAAAAAAAATCCATGGCGGGATAAAACAGCGGCAAAGTCAAAGTGTTTTATTTTAAAGCACAGCAAATAAAATGCGTCTCGAACTAACGAGTAAAGGAAAAAACCGACCATAATTCTCTCAAGACCCCATATTATCACGTCATACGCACCCATTCGTGTAAGTATTTTCTTTTGTGAAATGTCTCAAATTACGAACTTTGCGTGTATCATCCCATTCGTGTTTATGTATGCGATAATTTGAAATAACAACAAGTCGCATTAACGTCATAATAACACCCGAATCACAACCTTAATAACAACAAAACTACTGTGGTATTTCATGTAATGATCGGCTGTCAATCGTATGACTGTAATTGTCGAGTGCGATCATCTGCGGGTTAATGCAAACCAAGTGCAAGTACCTATACACTTTCCAACTTTAGGACTGTCTGGATCACCTTTAATGTAGTTAACATTAAAGGTGATCCAGACAGTCTAAAATCATCATTTTTTATACTTGTTAGCAACCATCTGTACGGCTGTTAGAAACCGATTTAGATTAGGTTGGCGATCGTGTGTACACCTTTTAGTCATTCAAAATTTGTCAATTACCAGCGAAAATATTACACTTTTTGGCTTTTCTACGTTCATACGTCGTAATTGGCAAGACTGGGCGTTAGTTATCTACTCACTTATCCAAACACTTTGTATTGAACTTATGATAGGACGTTACGTCACTTCCCGGATGGCAGTCGCAGCTAAAAATAAACAATGTGAAGAGTTTAACTTCGTTTATCGTGACGGAAAAATATCCAGACATAATGTTTAGACGATTAATGAAAACGTTCTTGAATAAGTGTATTTCCATGTTGTCTGTTTGTAGATTTTTATATTTGACACAATTTATGGCGTAGCTTGCGACTCTCACAAGTGCTTTTAGCAGCCCAGACTGAATAAATAATTTTTATTTTGATTTTGATTCGTAGAGGTTCGTTGAAAGTGGTGCTGCCGCTAAACGCTGATGACGCTGGCTGGCTAATAACACAAATATAAAATTCTCCATTCCTTTGGATATAAATTGCAACAAAATCGGAGTATATAACTAGTAAATATAAACACAACAAAAATATCTTGTACGCAGCTGTATGAAAATTTGGACTTTGTACCAACCATGCTTCGTATAGAACTTCCCTACTAAAAGAGGTCTACTTGAGGTGGTGAGGTGTAGCGTGAAGAAGCTAAAGCATCTGTATCATGGAAATTTGCGACAACGAAGGAACACAACTCCAAGATTCGAGACAAAATAAAAGTTTATTTTCTATATTGAAAAGATCGAGAATCGGACCCGAGACTTCAGAGATGACGACGACGACACCTTGTAACCGGCGTACGAGACACTTGGCCACGGAGGTCTGTTATGGATTGCATAAACTAGGGCAGATCGTTAGTGACTAAATAAATAAAATTAAAATAACTTGAACCGTCTCATCTAGTATTTGAACGTGTTATTATCGTATGCGTGGAGTGGAGCAAACCAAACGGCGACACAAGTCAATATTTGCCGTCTATTTGTTGTTTTAGCTAGAGACCGATTGACAACACTTCGGTTAGAGCATACATGGACTTATTACGGCAAGAATATTTTTTATGTGTCTCTTCTTTAGTTGAACTTTTAATTTTGTAGTACATAATATAAAGCCAAAGCGTTTTCTTTTAATTTAAATTAAAGAGTGTTGCCTCTTATTAAGAAATCTGCACAAAAATAATAATGTTAATATTTAAAAATTCCAAATTATACTTCAAAAGTGCATAAAATTCATATATATATAATTTTTTCTATAATAATGCTTAAAAATACGTTGAATCGATAAATACGATACTATATATCAAATAATATATAATAAAATAATACTTCTTCATAATACATACATATACTCTGCGTCTGTCTGTTTTAATTCGAAAAATAGCGAATGAAGTTTCACGCGCCAAGACGAAAGTTGTGGTTTATAATTTGTAATTTTTTGTGTATATTGACTGAATAAAAGCGATTTTGTAGGTATCGGTAGATATTCAACTTTCAATTTTAAACATAAAATCACTTTTCTATTAGATAACTTTTTTTTAAAAAAAATCTTTCTTTTATTTGTAATGTGTAACACCTGTAATTAAGATTGAATTTGTAATGATTACCTTTTATATGTAGTTACGTGAATAGGTTAATGTAAATCTTGTTGGTGTTAATAAATAAATCATTTGTCATTTCACCTGACCTAAGAATAGTCTATAATAATCTATATCCATACACAAAGAATCGGTTAAACGCGAGTCGAACTAGCCCACAAAGGATATTGTACTAGCTATAAAAAAGCAAAATATCAAGTTTTTTGTATGGTCTATGTATATGTTTTTGAGAGCCTGCGAGCCACTTATCCACGGAGGTGCACCGACAAAATAAATAATATTTTGTTATGTATTAAAAATACTTATTAAGCGATTATAGTTAATTCCCTCCGAAATAAGTTTTAATTATATTCTTATACTAGATATTGTTCTGTTTTTGTTCGCGTGTACTTTAGTTATCAGGGCGTATGTTTTAATTAGCCGCCTTATAATCAATTTATAAGAAGTCTAGAAATGAGTAAAATCCATATAAATTTCACCCCCTTAGTGGTTGAATTCCTAAAAATCTTTTCATAGTGCTCATTTACATCATGAAAGGAACCCCTGTACAAAATTTTTAATTTCTAAGTAAAGTAGTTTCGGCTGAGCGTTGATATAAAAGTCAGTCAGGTTTGCCTGTTAGATAAACAATATTATTGGTTACTTAATCAGGAAGATTTGGTATTATTATGCAGATATTTGTTGTTCTTAATAAAAAATAAAATAGATTTATGGGATTATAAACAAATCTTAATCGAAAGTTCATAGTAACGCATTATGTGCTATTGTCCATCATGTCGATAACCTGGATTAACTTCATGTAACTCAAAATAGGGTCTAATTTTGTAT